GCCCTTTACTTTTTCTTCGGGATCGTCCAGCCTGAAGCGCAAAACATAAGGCAAAAAATAACAGCGCCAAAACTGGAGGTAAGGTCTGGCGATACCGACACAGCAGGAAAGAGGTTTGACGTTTTACCTTTTTATATGACGTATACCAGGGTCAGTCTGGTAGCCTGCAAACGTCGCCAAATTTCCACCGCAAAATCGGTCTACGTTCGTGGGCAGGTACAAAGGTTAACACACATTTTCCCAATCATTGTCACTACGATAGAAAATTTGGTATTTAGTATCTTTTCTATGGCTAAAATAGATAATTTTCTCCTGATCTAAAGGACTTATAAGGCCCCCCATATAAGCTTAAGCTTTTTATTATTATAAAACGAGCCATGTGGCATCATTAACATGGTGTGAAATGTTGGATGGATATAAATCCCGGCGTCGAGAATTAAGATTAGTCTCCGTGAATGAATCGATATTTTACTAAGGTACAAAAGAATAATATCGATCCACTAAGGAATGTTAATAATAGCACATTAGTTCGTTACTTTTTTCTTGATCGCCAAGTTTTCCGAATGCTTCTTTTATAGAAGAGGCATCTTTAGATATAAAATAATACCCAGCCCAAGTAGACTGCTTGAAAGAGCTATTTCGCATACAGACACTATTAAAGTTAATACGCTTGAAATAATCCGGCGCCGTATTTATCATCTGCGTCATGATGTTTTCCTGAGGCTGTTCACTCATAAATGACATTAAGAATAGGGGCTTGCGTGTTTTTATCAGGCGAGACACACAAAATTGTTGTCCCTGATAATAAAATTACAAAGAAACGATTTTAATCTGTGCTTATGAGACATCAAGATATTTTTCTTCTGATCATAAGTCAACTACACAAGTAATTAGGCTATTAAACACTATGAACTGGTGAGATCGGTTGACCGAATATTGACCTTGAGTAGAAACCACAGGTAACGTCAAAGCACGAACCTCATTACCAATACTTCACACTAAATAGATCATACTTTTCGATAGTAATTTGTAAAACTAGTAGCAAACCCGTCTTGCTTTCCCCGGCCCAACTTGAAATGAATATTAAATTAGACTTTCATTTTCTTTTAATTTGAAGAGAGCTAGCTTTATTGTTCCTACGGTGACCCCGCAAAATACAGGTAAGTTAAATTGTGTATATCAAAAATTTTCTAACATAATGTTTACATGAGCTCTCCCCGAGTTCTAACTGAATTCAACGTTAACTGATGCTGCTGTAACATGTAGCAATACGTATTGAGATAAATCCAGTCCCATCGGATAATTCATATTTCAGAAAATCGGCCAAAAATTGCAAAAGAAACGATTACTTATAAAAAAAATATTATAAAAATATCATAAACATTTAGTTGTACCATGCATTATCCAAGTGTTGTTGCCTTTCTTATCATCCCATCACTTGTACTCACTCACT